TCGCGGGTGGGTCGCGGGGTGGGTCGTGGGTGGGTCGCAGGCCGGGTCGCGGGGGGGTGATGCCAAACAACAGCAACAACAACAACAACAATCATTTTATTTTAATGCGCGATGTCTCCACACGAAGCATGCGACCATCGTTACAACCATCCCCAGCATGGGGGATTTTTTTGTAGCGGGGTCCGTTATTCCCATTCCAAGATCTCCCGCCCAACGAGGTCTTGCAAACACCTCTTCCGAGGAATTTCAACATATCCCGCCTCTAAAACGCATGCCCGCGCCTTGCTGCGCCGATGCGAGACCGCCAATGGAGCCCCAGCCAAGGGTAAAGCACAAGGGAGTATCGAGCGACAGGATTGTCTTGGTGGGGATGGGGGCTGTCGCGGGCGAGGCAAGGACCTGGCCCTGAATAGAAAGGGAGGAAGTCTCGAGCAGGGCCGTTGTTGTTGCTGGGAGCGGCGCCAATGCTGAAGAGAGTAGGGCGCTAGTCCAGCGTAAAACAAAACGATGTCTCGAGCGGGAGCGCATGTTTTGTTGGGACGGCGTTTGTCGGCGGCGAGGAGGAACACCGCCTTGAGTGAAAAGGGAGGACGCCTCGAGCGGGAACCATGGTTTTGTCGGGACGGGCTGTCGCGGCGACGAACAGTACCGTCCTGAGGAAATTATCCCAGTGCGACCCTACCTAGAAGTTGAAGCCCCTAGGAAAGCAGCATTAGTAGCAACACTAAAGATACGCTAAAGCTAAGCGAATGCTAAAGCTAAGCTAACGCTAAGCTAAAGCTCAGCTAAAGCTCAGCTAAAGCTAAGCTAAAGCTAAGCTAAAGCTAAGCTAAAGCGAAGCTAAAGCTAAGCTAAAGCTAATCTAAAGCTAAGCTAAAGCTAAGCTAACGCTAAGCTAAAAGCTAAACTAAAGCTAAGCTAAAGCTAAGCTAAATCTAAGCTAAAGCTAAGCTCAAGGTAAGCTAAAGCTAAGCTAAAGCTAAGCTGCAGGTAAGCTGCAGGTAAGCTAAAGCTAAGCTACAGCTAAGCTAAAGCTAAGCTGAAGCTCAGCTAAAGCTCAGCTAAAGCTACGATAAAGCGAAGCTAAAGCTAAGTTAACGCTAAAGCTAAGCTAAAGCCAAGCTAAAGCTAAGCGAATGCTAAGCTAAAGCTAAGCTAAAGCTAAGGTACAACTAAGCTACAGCTAAGCTAAAACTAAGCTGGAGCTAAGCTAAAGCTAAGCTAAAGCTAAGCTAAAGCTAAGCTGGAGCTAAGCTAAAGCTAAGCTAAAGCGAAGCTAAAGCTAAGCTAACGCTAAGCAGAAGCTAAGCTGAATCTAAGCTAAAGCTAAGCTAAAGCTAAGCTGCAGCTAAGCTGAAGCTAAGCTAAAGCTAAGCTAAAGCTAAGCGAAAGCTAAGCGAATGCTAAGCTAAAGCTAAGCTAAAGCTAAGCCAAGCTACGCTAAGATGAGATAAGCTCAGCTAAGCTAAGCTAAGCTAAGCTAAGATGAGATAAGCAACGCTAAGCTAAGGGGACGTACCTGGAGGAACCGCGGGGCGGAGAGTGGGCGAACCGCCCGGGGCGCTTTCCACTGCAAGGCCCCTTTAAGCTAGAGAGTAAAAACCCTTCTAGGCAGAGCCTAGGTAGGGAAAGTGGAGGAAATCTCGAGCGGAAACGTTGTTCTGGCTGGGAGCGGCGTCAATTCAAAAGAGAGCAGGACGCCAGTCTAGCGTAAAACGGGAGGAAGTCTCGGGCGGGAGCGTTGGTTTTGTTGGGACGGCGGTTTTCGGCGGCGAGGAGGAGCACCGCCTTGAGTATAAAAGGGAGGAAGCCTCGAGCGGGAGCGTTGTTGTTGCTGGGGGCGGCGCCGATGAGAGAAAGAGTAACGCGCCAGTCCAAGGTAAAACAGGAGGCAGTCTCGAACGGCACCGCTGGTTTTGTTGGGACGGCGGCTTTTGGCGGCGAGCAAGAGCACCGGCCCTGAGCAAAAAACGAGGAAGTCTCGAGCGGGAACGCTGTTGTTGTTGGGGGGCCCGTTTTGGCGCCCCCCCAAACCGTTTTATAGCGTGAGCCTCATTTTCCATGAAAATGTAGCCGGCGCCGGGGCGAGAATGCCAAGGCGCCTGGGGGGTCCAGCAATAAGAATTGTTTAGTAATTAACATGCAACAACAGCAATCATTTTAAGACTGTTCGCTCTTATCTGTTCGCGTGCGATTCAACACGTATATCCCGAACCCTCGATACCCGCCCTTTTCGTCTTCGACCGTACCCCCTTGGAGGTAGATCTTTCTTACCTGCAACGTGTATTCCGCGCAGCCCCGGAAGCAAGGGAATAGAGGACGGATGGAAGGAAGGACATGGGGGAGGGAGGAGGATGTTGCACGGGCTAGGAGCAGAAAGTACGCGGCAGAACCAGACGGGCAAACTGGGCGGGTAGACCCTACCATGCGGGTCGGGAAGAGGGCCCAGGCTGCCAAGTCGAGCAGGCGGGTTGCTAAAGCGTGCGTCCTGCACGAATCGCAAGGAAGTCTCGAACGACAGCTCGATTCCCAAATCAGTCGTGAGGAAATCCACAGCGAGAGCGTGATTCCTGAATGTCGAGGGCGCGGCGTTTGAATAAATTGGGAGGAAGTCCCACGCGAGAGCGCGATTTCTCAATCAATGGTGAGGAGGTCCCGCGCGGCAGCGCGATTCGGAAATAAATTGTTAGGAAGTATCACGCGGGAGCCGTTGTTGTTGTAGTCCAGGGGCCAGGGGCGCAGTTTGAGGACGCAGATTTTCCCTGATAAAAAAATCTGGTTGCGAGCGCCGGGAGATTCACTTCAATTGAAAATGCAATGTGCGCCAGAGGGAGGGATCAGCAATAATTATTCCTCAGTAGTGAGAGTTCAGCAACATCAGCAACACCACCACCACCAACAACAACCAACACACAAACAAACAAACACACAATCAACCAAACAAACAAACAACCAGCCGAACAAACAAACACACAAACACACAAACAAACGAACAAACAACACAACAACACCAACAGCAACACCACCACCACCAACAACAGCAACAACAACAATCATTCAAATACTGTTCGCTTTTATCTGCTCGAATGTCATTCGACGTGTACTTCCCAAAGCCCTCGATACCTGCCCTTTTCGTCCTCGACCGTGCCACTTCTGGGGGGTATGTATCTCTTCCCTGCAGGCTGGGCAACCCGATTCCCTGAGGGACGGACAGGGGACCGACCACGACGCCAACGACGACGACGACGCCGACGACGACGACGACGAGCGAAAACGAGAGCGATAGCGACAGCGGGGCCACGAAGGGCAGGATGGGGGCCACGAAGGGCATGCAGATGGGGCCACGACGGGCGCGAACGAACGGGGGCCACGAAGGGCAGATAATGCGGGGCCACAGAGGGCAACGACGGAGCCACCGAGGGTTGCAACAGGGCCATGTAGGACAGCGAGGGGGCCACAAAGGGCGACGGCGGGGCCACGAAGGGCATGCGCATGGGGCACGGGGCCACGACGGGCGCGAACGAGCGGGGGCCACGAAGGGCGTGCGTATATTGGGCCGCAGAGGGCGAGGGCGGGGCCACTGAGAATAGCGACGGGGCCACGAAGCGCATGCGCGTGGAGCCACGACGGGCGCGAACGAGCGTGGGCCACGAAGGGCATACACACTGCCAGCCCGCGTTATCCTGCAAGGCACAGCTCTGGACGATGCCGCCGCACCCGATCGCGGACGCGCGCTTCCCCTTTGCGTCGCCTGGCAGGATGCTCGGGAAGCCTTCTCAAGATGAGCGCGTTCTCTCATCTGGAGGTCCTGGGAGGCACCCCGGGGTGCGCCGGCGGCGGACTGCCTCGCTGCGCCCCTCGGTGCGCGCGGCCCTGGCGACGCGGCAGGCGTGGCCGCAGGCGGAGAGAGCCACCTGCAGGAGGTGGCCCAGCGCAGGCTGCCGCTCGCGCGCGGCCTGGAGGGCCAGCCCTTGGCCTGCAGGGTGGGAGGCGCCCGCCCCCGCCGTCTCGCCTGCCCGCGCGGCGAAGGCAGGGCAGGAGCTGCTCGAAAGGAGCGGCGCCCCTCCTCCTCTTCGCTCCTCTTCTCGGGGCGGGGCGGGGCCGTGGGGGGACGGGGGGAGGAGACGTGTCCAGCGTGAATGGTTGGATTGGCTGCGGGCCTCCAGGGATGGGAATCTGCGGGGTCCGGTCCAGGCCCAAATGGTTCGGCGGTTCCCCCCTGGAGGCTGCCGCGGCGGCCTGGGATGAGGTAAGGAAGGTCCTTTGGAGCCCATCTCCGAGCTGACGTTATGCGCGCATCAGGACCTGGCTCAGGGGCTGCGTTGCAGATACTCGTCTCCAGAATGTTGACCGTCGGTGCTGCTTGGGACGCTCCCGACAGCCTGAAGCATTGCTTTTGGTGCTTGCAACTTCGAGAGCTGCTGAGGTTGGCCCTAGGCCGCCCTCTTCCTGCTGCTACTCTCGTCGCCCTGGCCCTCGTCGAACCATCGCTGGACTCGGCTCGAGGTGTGGTCCTGATGTTCCACCTGCATCGTCTTCTCCACCATGAGAGACGTGCGGCCATCAGCGGGTCGTTCCCCCTCCCGATCGCCCGCTCGATCGCTAAGGCCGCGCGGCAGGCCGTTGACCTCCCCTCTGGAGGCAGCTCCGTCCTTCAGTCGCGCCGTCCTGCGAGGTAAGTATCTGAGACTTTTTTCAGGACGTTCCGCCTCCTTCTCTTACACCTCGTCCGTTTGAGCCTCGTCCGTTTCGTTCCCCTCTCGTCCTCCGCGTGTCCGAATTCTCCCCGGTGGGCCCCCCCCCGCGGGCGCAGGAAAGCAACGACAGCTGCGCGCCTGGCAAATACCAGTGGCGGCGAGGTCCCGTCGGGTCCGCGTGCTACCGCACCTCGCTGCACCCCGCTGGCATCTGGTAGGTTGCAGAGTTTCCATGCTGCACTGGCGAGCCCTTCCTTCTGGCTTGGGAGCGTCATCCGCCTGGTGGCCCAACTAGGGAGCCAGCGGACTCAGGAGTTACACTCGGCCGCCGAGGGAGGTAGCGCAGAGGCGGTGCGGTCGCTGGTGGAGCGGGCCCCCGACCGGGCAGCCGCGCTGGCGGCCAAGGACAAATACGGGTACACTCCCCTGCACAAGGCCTGCAAGAGTGGGAGCGTGGAGGTGGTCAAGGCTCGGGCGACGAGAAGTGTGCACTTGCGCCGATCCTGGCCACGCCTGTCCTGGGCAAGAGGACCGGCGCATTTGCCTCCCCAGCCACGCCAGAAGGACGAATGCACCGATCCTAGGTCCAGGATGGTCCAGGCCAGGGTCGGTGCACGTGCAAACTGATGTGCTCTACAGGCGCTGGCGGAGCTGTCGCCTGACAAGGCCAGTGTGTTCGCCGTGACGCAGAACGACGGGTCCACTCCCCTGCACACGGCCGCTTACAACGGGCACGCGGATGTGATCCGGCTGCTGGTCAGCCTGGCGCCCGACGCGGCCGCCTCGCTCGCGGCGAAAGACAACAACGGGTGGACCCTCCTGCACGATGCCGCCTACAGCGGCCACCCGGAGGCCATCAAGCTGCTGGTCGATCTTCGGGGGGCGCCATCGGACCACCTCACCAGTCCTGACCGGGCCGATCCTGGGTCCAGGATCGACGCTTACGCTTCTCTTCAGGGGCAGGGTCAAAGGGGGGGGCTTGGCATCGCTCGGACGTGTGCATTTTTTTCAGGAGGGAAAAAAAACACAGACACAATTAATCGTCGACTCCCAGGAAAATATGGGAAAATATGGGAAGTGGGGGGGAAGACAAGAACCCAGAAACTATGGGAAAATATGGGGAACATTTTTATTTGTGTGTATTTATTTGTGTGTCCTGGGTCCCCGTCATTTTTCTCGGCAAGGACCATCGAGGAGCATCCTTGATCACTTGGCGAAAAACTACGCACGAAACCAAAAAAACACAGGGAATGGACGTCCGAGCGATGGCCAGGGGGGGATTGGGGGGGGAGCAAGGCATCGCCCCCCCATTCGCCCATCCATCGCCGAAAGGGGGCCCGCTAGCGCACCCCGCCCAGGAACGCGCGGATTTGCCATCGAGGGCTCGTCGCCTATCCATCGGCGATGTATCGCCGATTCCAGGGCGACGATGCTCCCCCCCCTGAGGTTTCCCTTCGTCCCTCTGAGGTTTCCCAGCAGTCTCCCCCTCTGAGGTTTCCCTTCGTCCCTGGCCAAGCCAGGAGCCGGCGGCGCCCACAAGAGGAAACGTTCTTAGCACAGTTTTGTCCGAGACCGTCATGTTTGAACACATCGGCTTCATCTACGAACATGGTTCCCGTTTTTCGAACATTCTGGGTTCTAAGAATATTTCGTGGTAGTCCTTCGTTCTCTATTAGGAATGCCAGGAGGGTCGGTCCCTGCTCAATTCAGAGGGCAGCGGGGCGTCTTGGAAGGCAGGGGCCCTCGTGGACGGCTTGGTGGCTTCGGAGAAGGCCCCTCGGATGCCAGGGAGGCATTCTACGAACGCCCCTGCTTCGAAGACCCCCGGCCTTCTCCGAGGCCCGGTCGCCTCCGTGGTAGCCCGCCCCCCCCCCGCCCCCACCCACCCACCCACCCACACACCCACCCACCCGCCCGCCCCACACCCACACACCCACCACACCCTCGCCACCACCCACTTGGCCACCCCAACCCCACCCACCCAACCACCCACCCACACACACCACACACACACACAACACACCACACACACACACACACACACACACACACACACACACACACACGCCAACCACCCCTCCTCCTCCTCTCCTCCTCCTCCTTACTCTACGAATCCTCACTCCTCCGCCTGCTACGATAGACCGCCTCCTCCGCCTATTCCTAATATGAAGAAGCAATCCTCCCTCAGATCTGATATGCTCTAGCGCGCATCCTCCTCTCCTCTAGCCTCTCCTCCTTCTCCTCCTCCTCCTCCTCCTCCTCCCCCTCCTCCTCCACCTGTTTGGGGCTCCAACCTGTTTGGGGCCGACTCTGGTACCTGCGCGCGGTGCTTGAGGCATTACGTACATTTCTTTTCCCCCCAAAGATTTGCACGTCAACTAAAGCCAGAGTTGTATCATGACCGTTTCTCGTCTCTGGAGCCGTTGCAGCTCCTGCAGCCGAGCAGAGTGGAACGACATTCTCAGCCGTCAGCAGTGCTTCTGATCGTGCGGCAAAAAGGTGAAGCTGTTCGTTCCGTCCAGCGCCAAGAAGGAGCTCGCAGCAGCCCATCGGCAGCCACCGTGGCGGGCTGGCGCTGAGGATGCTCCTCCGCAACCGCCATCGTCGGTCGCGGGGCACATGGCAGCGGCGCTGGCAGCCAGTGATGACCCAGAGCTCAAGAAGATCCTGCAGGCCAAGATCGAGGAGCTCAAGGCCGCTCCTGCTGCCCGTGCAGCTCCGCCGCCGTCGGAGGCAGTAATGGTCTCCAAGGCGGAGGGCGTGTGGAAGGACTGCAACCACAAGCACGACCAGGCTGTGACCAACGTGCGCCGCCTCAGGGCCGCGCTGCAGGTTGCAGAAGAGAAGGAGCAGCTTGCCGCGCGCTCCCTGGCCTCAGCCGAGATCGGCAAGAGGCAGGCGGCGCAGGCGCTTGCGAGGGCTGCGGGCCTGCAGCCTAGCCCCGAGGAGAGCGGCCCCAAGCCTGCGTTCGAGGTCACGTGGGATGAGGAGCTCTTCAATGACCTTGAGAGTGTCGAGGTTGAGGAGGGCGAGCGGGCCCAGCTCCGCTCCATCAAGGAGGACTTGGAGAGGGTGAAGCTCCAGTTCACCACGAAGAACGCTGAAGTGCAGGCCTGGTTGGATAAAGCCGCTCAGGTCAGGAAAGAGGTCAAGGAGCGCGCCGCCAAGAAGCGGCGCAACGCCAACGGCCAGGCTGTCCCTCAGGAGGACCCCGCGGTGGCGCCTGGCGGGGGCACGGCTGGGGGCGGCAGCGACGGCGGGACCGCGGCCGCGGCTCCCGAGGCGACCCAGTCGCCTGCCGAAGCTGCCGCCGACGCGGCTGCTGTGGAGCAGGAGGCGGCGAGGATCTCGGCGGCGAAGTTCGAGGCAGCGGCCAAGGCCGAGGCGCAGAAGGTGTCGGCTGGCAAGGGCGCGGCCAGGGGCGTCAAGGCTGCGGCTTGACACGCAGCGCCTGGGGCCGAGCGTCCTGCTGACGCTGAGGCGCCGTGCTACCAGGCGCCAGTTTTGGATCAGACTGCTGCTGGGGCGTCCACCAGCCGCATTTTCTTCGGCAGCGTCACGGCCATGGGGGAGGCCACTTGGACGTACATAGATTCCGTCGCCTCGGCGCACGAGTACATCGGGGCTGCAGAGACTCACGTTCCTGAGTCACAGCTGCGCAAGTGGGATGCTCGTGCACGAGGCGCTGGTCTTCGTTTTTTGCCTAATCCAGCGCGGCCCAGCGGCCGACACCAATCACTTCATACTGCTGACAAAGCCAATGAGGGAGGGGAATGGGTCCTCTCACGTGGGCATTTGCAAGTGGAGATGCTACATGAGGCTCGGTCTACTATGGCTCTTCGAGCCCCTGGATCGAATGCGCTCGACGGGTTCGTAGCCACGATCATCCACTGCTCAGGCTTCTCATTGGTTCTGTGCATCTGCTATGGTTTCACTTCGCGAGGCCTAGCAGGCCGTAACTTAGCCAGATTCTATCGGCTAGGCGGATTTCTCTGCAGTCTCAAGTTGCCCTGGGTTTGCTTGGGCGATTGGAACGTCGAGCCGCCCGCCATCATCCAGTCGGGCTTCCTTGACAGGGTGATGGGCCGCATCATCACGCCAGAAGGGGGTCTCCTACACGTGTGACTCTAGCAAGCTGGGGGGCATGCTGGACTACGCGATCGTCAGCGAGGCTGCCATT